GGTCTCTTAAACTTGGGAGAGAAGAAGCCCTTTATTTTTCATCCTTTTCTCTTTTTTATAGTTTGTATTTTCTTGCTTCTCAAGTAGCATATTTCCTTGCTCTCCAAGCAGTACCTTTCCTTGCTCTTCAAGTAGCTCATTTCAAATTTTTTCCCTAACATTCTATTTGGTTCCAAACAATGAGCCAAATCCATTTTCCTCGAAGAAGATAGATGAAGATGAAAGGAATATGTCATAATTGCATGGTGGGATGAATGATGATATGAAAGAGTTTTATGATTTACTGAAAGATAGGGAGCAACTGTTGTACGATGGATGTACTAAATTCTCAAAGTTGTCTTTCTTGATGAAATTATATCACATTAAGTGTTATTACAAAATTAGTGACAAAGTTATGACAATGATTATTGAATTGTTGCATGATGTCTTTGAATATGTTACTAATAGATATATGTGGTCTTGATTACAAAAAAAATTCATGCATGTCCTTATGATTGAATGTTATATTGGGAGGGTGATCGAAATAGAGAAGAATGTAAAGTGTGTCACACTTATAGATGAAAGGCTCGAGGTCAAGGAAATTAAGTCAATCTAGGTTTGCCTACTTGTAAACCGCGAAAGAAATTACCTACAAAAAATTTGTTACTTTTTGTTGATCCCTAGGTTAAAAAAAGTTGTCTTAAGAAAACAACTAAGAGTATGATTTGGCATGCTAAAGAAACAAATATTGATGGCATGATGAGACATCCAAGAGACTTTAAAGCTTGAAAAGCTTTTAATCAAACACATCCTAATTTGACCTCAAATCCTCATAATGTTTGATTGAGGTTAGCTAGTAATGGATTTAATCCCTTTGAAAACTTAAGTATTAGTTACATTTGGTCATTAGTTATCATTCTATACAACACTCTTCCATGGACGTGTATGAAGCCAATAAATTATGTATTTTCAAGCTTGATTCCTAGAAAGTAAATGTTTGGAAGTGAATTTGATATCTACATGCAACATTTGATTGCAAAGTTGGAGTTGTGGGAAAAAGGTGTTAAGACATATAAAGTATTTTTACCTTGATTAAATACATATTGAACAAATTATGCATGTAGATTAGAAATATCTACATGAAAAGTTATGATTTTCACATTCTTATGGAACAATTGTTGCCCTTGTCAATTAGAAATGTCTCCCATGTCCAAGTTGTTATAGTTATTTTTTGTGTATGTACTTTTTTTAAATAGATTTACGCTAAAGTACTGAGCTACAAAGATTTTGACAAGATTAAAGATCAATAATTCTCTTTGTGTCATTTGGAAATGATTTTTTACTATCATTTTTTGTGGTTATGGTTCATCTTATGGTGCATTTAGTTGATGAAGCTAAGCAAGGAAGACTACTGCATTATTGATGGATGATAAACTTTTTGGCAAGTGCACCAAATCGTTGAAGTAAAAAATTATATTGTCGTCAACAGGAATTAAAGCTAAGTACCAACCCACAAAAATAGGACTAGTTGGGTCACCAAAAATAGGATTTAAACAGAATAAAATTTAACTAAGTGCAGAATTGTAAATAAAATGAAATTAAAAGTTCTGTAATTGAATTTTATTAATGAACAGAACTGAGATTTTAAAACTGGGAATGAAAATCAAAATAATTGCGGAATTTAAATATCTTAATTCTGGAAGTCTAAAATCAATTAAAAGATAGGTTGAGCTCAAAATCCCTTATCCGTTTCCCTTTGCATATAAATAAATTTATATCCAATATTAGTTCATTGCAAACAGTAAAGGTATAGGTTCATCCTCACTCAACCCCAAGATATTTAGCTAGACATAATGAAAGTAAATAATATAAAATTGAAATATATTGTAGAAATAGAATCCATGTTCACAAAAACACTTACAGCAAATAGATGAAAGGAAAGAATTATTGTTCCATTACATAAACCAAAGAAAATGAAAAGGAAATGCAAGTTCCCATAAGAATCCTCTCTCAAAGTTGTAAAGAAATTTCCCTAGCTAACATATTCACTGTAAACTATATGTAAAACCTAAATTTCTCCGCTCTGGAATCGTAAAAGACAAAAAGATAAAAGATGCTTCTTTTCAAAAAAAATTTGCTTTTATATGCTCAGTCAGCATCGTGTCCCCATAATCAGAAATTCGTGTCCCCACTATTGAGTCCTGCAACACTTAACTTCTATTCTTTAGTCCGTTTGCCAATTTTCTTCTTATAATTCCTTCAAAATTCAAATGCCAACAATCAAAATATGCATGATTTCTCAATTTCCAGCAATACAACATTCCGTTGAATTTTTCAATTAATTGCATTAACTTATAATTTAAATTCAATGAAATATACCAAAAACCTTTAATTTTCTAGATGAGTTAGTGACTCATCACAACTCCAAACTTAATTGTTTGCTTGTCTGCAAGCAAATTTCTTTTTCAATTGAAGTAGCTAGTTCCCAGAAAATTTGACACACTCATATTGTCAATTATCCCTCTTGCAGCAATTAAATTAATGCATACAATTCACAAGCAATTTCTTCAATTTTTGACACCAAAACTGAATTAAATTCCTTCTCAGGTTAGTATTTCACTCTTTACTGCTCAAGTGTTTAGGCTTGTGTTTGACTCTCTTCAATGCCTTTGTTGTTATTCTTTCACATAGATTTGGTAAATTTCTAATTCACATTATCCATGCAATCAGTTATAATCAAGAGGGCTTTATAAAGGTTAAAATGTGGTCAGGGTTGAGGTGGGAAAACAATTTGGTCATTGGTTGTTCCTTATATCAGGAAAAACATAAGGGATAACTTAGAAAATCTAAGAAATTGAAGAACTATTTGCACTCCCCCATTGGGTATTTTTCAACTTTCTTAATTGACTGTTGTAGCACTTAAATCTCTATTTTGGATTTCTCTTTTCATTCTGTTTTTGTTTTCTATATTTTTTTTTTGAAGTAAATTGAATGGTACTCAATTTGAATACTTACTAACTAGGGCTTTAACCAAAATGGCTCTCTCAACATATATAATTATACACCCATATACAATTCTCCAATCCCAAACTTAAATGGATTGCTTGTTGATGAAACGAATTTAGCTACTCGTCATGCAAAAGATTGTCATTAATCCTCATCAAATATGCAAGAAATAAATGCAATACTAGGGTGTTATCTTAGGTTGTCTCCAAGGAATTTTTGGTTGGGAACATACATCGAACAAGTGTAAACATGAATTTTAAAGCAAGTAAAATCGGGGGAATTTTTGTTAGTTTCCAGATTTAAATCAAGAACGAAATGTGAATTAATGAAATTCAATCAATTAAAATGAGTAATTCCTAATCAATCAATGAGTTCCATCATTATTCTTTCAAATGATTTAATAATCCCCTTTCTTTCCCTTGAATTAAGTTAATCTAACAAGCGAAAATTAACTTTAACATCCCAATTAAAATTAAGCATCTTAATGGGCTCCAATCTCTATCCCTAAGATTAAGCAACCTCAAAGATTAATTAAAATTAAGCAATTTTGAATTAGAATTTCGTTGGGTAATTTAGGGTTCATTAAGCAATGTTCCTTTCATGCAAATTCCATTTCATTCAAAGATTGGGGTCAATAAATTCAAAGAAAGAAAGATTTGTATTGCAATTAATCCCAAGAATTCAAGATTCATGTGCATTGACTAGGAATTACAAGGAAGTTTAGCCCTCCATGTGGATGGGCTTCACAAATGAAAGAAAGAAATGCAAGAACGTAAGCAGCATTAATGTAAATTCAACAAAAATCAAAAGAGAAATTGAAAATTAAAACCTATAGAGGACCCTTGGCTGTCACCCAAGACTCCAATGTTCTGGGAAAATTGTCTCAATTTGGCAAACGAAAAATATGTAAAGTGTAAAAGTCCCGTACCCTAATTCCTAAAACCTATTTATATTGGATGTCATGTCAGCAAAGTGTCCACTTTTTGCTTTGAAAGTGTCCACTTTGAGCCAAAAGAGTATCCACGCGCAGGATGAAAGGTTTGCTACTTCTCTGGAGTTGCCACTTTTTGTGCTGAAAGTGGCTACTCTGGTACGTGTGGCCACTATTAGAGCCAATAGTGTCCACGCGCAGAAATGCTCCCAAACGGCATTTACACTATATAATTTTTGTACTATTTACACTATATAAGTCTAATTTTTCTATTAAGGAAAACTAAAAAGACAAGTAAAAACATGATAAAAGGTGGATTCATCACTTGTCCTTAAGCAATTTCTAATAGAAACCCCAAACATAGAATTTGCTAAGTTATCCAAATTAGTGCTCATGATTTCTAAGTTATAAGGAGGAACACGTGTTTGGGTATGGTTGGTGGTAGTGTAGAGGTGACAGAAAAATTTGGCCAAGCTCAAAAAGGGCTAACAAGTGTTGAATGAAGGCATGGCATTTTAGTTAAAAGTCACTAAACACAATAATGGCCTCAATCATTTTAGAACATCGATGCATGGGAAGAGGATAAGAAAAGTGACAAATTATGCAAAGAATTTTAGAATCCAGCAGGCATACTGTCATCAAGAAAAATTAAGTTCAATGCTTACCATGGCAATTTTTGGAATTTAAAACAATCATAGTGGTCAGCAATGTTCAAAAATTGTGTGAATTCGTAAACAATGTGGTGCACAAGAGGGATGCAAGATTTATACAGTTAGTTAGGATCACATTTTAGAGAACATAACAAAATTAGGGAGAGTACAAAGAGACTCCCTTGTATATGTGAAACAAGTTGAGGTGTGGAGCTTGCCTCCTGCTTTCTTTGTTAAAACACTTGGATTGTGCAGAATAGAAATAACAGCAAACATATATGTATATAAACTGCATAAAAATGAAGAAATTTGATGTGCAAATTGCAAGCTGCATAATGAAGAAAGAATTACTAAGCAAAACAGAATTTTGCAGCTAGAAAAATGAAGCAATAGTTAAGAATGCATGCTGCACAAAACAGAATTTATATGAATAGTCAAGCCTGATTGTTCAAAAAGAGGAGTATAGCCAATGTATATCAGAATTAAAATTTCTTAGACAAGAGACTATAAAAGTAAATACAATTTGCAATTTGTCACAAGAATTATGCAGCAGCAACACATACTTGCAACTCGCAGCAACTAGAACTTAAAACCAATGTGCATATAAGTGCTGTAAAATTGGGAACATCTTATGACATCTCAAGTAAAATGAATTGCATTAAAAGGGAACCCATAGCATGCTAGAAAATGGTGCAGCAAAAATAATCAAAAATGCATTTGGCAACTACGTATAAGCAAGAGATTTGAGCACTAAAAAAACAAAAATTTTATAGCACTTCAAAATTTAAAGTAAACACTTGCATAGACAAGATTTCCAACACTTAAGAACAATGAATTTTAAAAATTCAGAATAAAAATTTGGTGCACAGTGTAGTTTGCAAACAAGAGTTCAGAGTATCACAGACAATATGATATTTAACAATTAAAAAGCATGTGCAAGGGAAAAAATTAGAATGTTGTGTACACGTAGCTCATTTCAGAAAGTGAAATTTCATGGTGAGTCAGAACAATGTAAAATCTTTCTTAATAAAAATTAGATGCCTACTTAAAGATATTGATATAAACAAGAATTTCAAGGAGCACCTGAACAAATTCAAGAGGGAGTTTATAGAAGGAAGCACGTAGTAAAACACACCAAAATTCACAAAATAACATAGAATTTGCGTAGAACTTGGGAACCTATTCATGACACAAAACATGTAGAATGTGTATTCAACTGAGGAAATAATGGAGACCCAGAAATTTTAAAGTCTACATAAAAGAAAGGACTGCAAAAACCATGAAAACTGCACATTATAAATGATTGGAACATTAAACAAAACAAAGTAATAACAAAAAATTGCAAACAGAAAAACAAGGCATTCACAGCGTCATTGTTAAAATGATTTTCAAGAAATTATAGTGAATCATAATTAGAGGAGCATGCAGAAAATTTCAACATATTGCAACACACCCAAGGACCATTTGTTGATGCAAAAATAGAAAAAGGGGAAACTTTTGTGCCCTAGATTATGTACAGTACACAACAAGCATAAAAACACAAATTATCACCCTTTTCACGACATAGAAACGCACCCAAAATTTAAAATGGGACCAATGTGCTAGCAAAGACCCATAAAGAACACAAAAATAAAAGTGAAATTATGAGGACAAAACGCACAACACAAAAATTCAAGAACGGAGAAGAAGAGGGAAGAAGAAGTGCACTAAAAATAAAGCAAGAATGTGCAAAATAACATACCTTTGTGATGCTCCAAACTTTTGATTTTAGGGTTCGAAAGAGGCAATGGAGTGCGTAGGGAGATACCAGGGGTGGAGAGGATTAGAAAAATGTGAATTTATGTGAGTAGGTGTGCTTGGTTAGTGATGGGGCATTAAGAGAGAATTGTAGAGATGTGGTGAATAACTACACAAGTTACTGCCAACCTCTAGGCTTCCTTTTTTTTTTAAAATATGAAACTAAAATATAAAAATATTGTTATTATATATTTTTTAATATTATTATAGTAATATAATATTATTCTAATAATATTATTTTTTAATATATATTTTTTAGATTTTTTTTACTAATAAAAAGCTATAATGACAAATAATTAAATATAAAACCTGTTGGGTCCCGTTCCTTCTTTATGGGCACTTAAGCTCTTCAACAGGGAGCATAAAATAGAGCAATGACAGACTGGTGAAGAGGAAATACTGTATTGAGGCAGCCATAAACATGAAGTGTGCTTGCTACCCAAATTGTATTTGCTGCAATAAATTGCAGCACTTTTCTGGCCTGCAAAACATTAGTTTAACAATAAATAACTAAATAAATAATGGTTGTTGAATGATTAGGTTGAGTCCTGCCCTAAACTCGAACTTATACAACTTAGGAAACTCTTTTTTTGTTATTACTTGCTCCTTCAACACTCAATAACTCCTCTTCATCTAACTGTGATAGGGTGTTGTTTCTTATCGCAGGAAGTGTTTCCTTCTCCCCCACAAAAGCATATTTTAAGTGTGAGGGAAGAGGTTTCAACTCAAGCCTTCGTGATTCTTCCACTCTTCCTCTTTCCAATGATTCTCTCATTAAACTTCTCTGCAAAATTGGTTGAGCCTCAAGCTATTGCATGCACTCTTGCATTTCTTCATCACTCACCTCATCAATTTTCATAATTGCATTGGCTACCACCTTTTCTAATGGATCTGCAAAAGTGTTTTGCTTCAAAGTTGTTACTGTAATAAGTGAATCCACTGTATCAATTCTATAGCAAGTATCCCTGTCATCCGGGTGCTGCATTATCTCAAATACCTTGAATGTAACTTTCTCATCATGTAGGCACAACATAAATTGCCCTTGTTGCATATCAACTAGCGCTCTTCCAATGGCTAAAAAAGGTCTTCCAAGGATCACAGGCACTTCGGAATCTTCATCCATATCCAGGATAACAAAATTTGCTGGAAAAATTATCTTGTCCATCTTCACCAACACATCCTCCATTATACCATACAGGTACTTGATGGATCTATCAGCTAGTTGGAGAGCCATTCTTGTATTTTTAACTTCACCAACTCTCAATTTCTTCAAGATGGAGAGCAGCATTAAGTTGATGCTGGCCCCCAAGTCGCATAAAGCCTTCCCAATGGTCACATTCCCTATAGTGCAAGGGATTGTAAAGCTTCTTGGATCTTTCAACTTTGAAGGCAACTTTTGCTGCAATATGACACTACATTCCTGAGCGATTGTAACATCCTCCTTCAATTTCCTCTTCTTTGAAAGCAAGTCCTTCATGAACTTGGCATACAAAGGCACTTGTTATAATGCTTCTGCAAATGGTATATTTATATGCAGCTTTCTGAAAATGTCCAAGAATTTGAAAAATTGCTCTTCCTTCTTTTTGTTCTTGGGGATGTGTGGATATGGCAACTTAACATAGAGAGGGAGAATTTAAGGCTTGCATGAGTCTTCCAAGATCTGTTTCCTGGTTCTGTTCCAGTATGCCTCATCCACCACCAACTTCTGCTTAGGCTTAACTTCCTCTTCTAGTTTTTCTTGTTCAGGCTCACTCTCCCCATTTCTATTTTCTGCAGTGTCCCTGACATGTCTAAAACTTGAGTTGTCCTCCTTCTCATCTTGTTTTTTCTTAAGCTGTGGTTCTACTATCTTGCCACTTCTAGTGGTGATGGCTTGGCAATATTCTCTTGAATTTTCCACTGTAGTCCCAGAGAATGTGCCTTGTGCTGGTTCACTAATTTTTTTTATAATCTTCCCCATTTGTTTTTCCAAATTTTTCATAGAAGCTTCTTGGTTAGCCATCCTAGTGCTCGTGTCTTGCATAAACAAGTTGGTGGTTTGTGTTAATTGCAAAAGTGCCTTCTCAAGGGTAGATACCTGATCTAGAACTTGGGCTGTGGGGGCTGTTGAATGGCTCCAAAATTCTGAAAATTTTGTTGTTGATACTGCCCACTTTGTTGGAATTGCTTGTCGTTAGACTGTGGGAATTAAGGTGGAGTTGATTGTCTTGCAACAAAATTCATATTCGGCCTGAAATTCTGTTGATTTGAGGTTGGATATATAGGTCTCTACTGGAAATTCTGCTACTACTGCCATGGTGCCCTTTGAGGAAAATTTTGTTGCTGCCTTGGTATGTTGTTCATATAGCTCACTTGTTTAGGAAAATGGTGTTGCACAAACTCTTCTCTGTTTTCACTAATTTCTTCATGATATTCCTCTTGGCTGGTGGAAGCTACATAGTGCACTGGTTTGTTCCCTTCTAACTTTATGTTTTCAAGTTTTGCATTGAGGGAATTTAGTTGCTGTGACATCAATTTGTTCTAAGCCAGCAATGCATTCAATATGTTCAGCTCTAGCACACCTCTTTTTGAAGAATTCATTTCTCTATTATTGTAATTGCTGGATGCCATAACTTCAATAAATTGTCGTGCTTCTTCCAAGGTCTTTCGAGCAAATGAGCCTTCAGCTACTGCATCCACCATTGTCTTTGTTGCTACATTTAGCCCATCATCAAAAGTTCTCAATTGAAGCCATTCAGGTAGCTTATGATAAGGACAGCTTCTCAAAAGTTCTTTAAATTTGTCTCATGCCTCTTGCAGTGTTTCATCTTCCCTTTGAGAAAAAGTTAAAATTTCTTGCCTCAACTTGGTTGTTCTAGAAGCTGGAAAATACTCTATAAAAAATTTGCTCTCTAAATTATCCCAAGTAGTGATACTTCCTTCCGGTTGGGATAACATCCAACTCTTTGCCTTATCCCTTAAAGAGAATGGAAACAGTGACAATCAGATAGCCTCATCACTCACACCATTCATTCTAATCATTTCATAAATGGTCAAAAAATTATGAATGTGCAAGTGGGGATCTTAAGAAGAATGTCCAACAAACTGCTCTTGCTGGACCACTCTCATAAGGTCAGGTCTGATCTCAAAGTTGTTTGCTTGAATGAGAGGTCGAACAATGGAGGTGGAGTTTCCTCTCGGTCTTGCATGTGCATAATCATCTAAGGTCCTTCGTTCTTCATTGGGATTTCCTGCCATTTCTGCAGAATTCTGTTCTTGTGGGTCTTCTTCTTCTTCTTCTTTTTTCTGAAGTTTGTACTTTCTTTTTGTTCTTTTTCTTGAAATTAATAATTGGCTGATCAAGTTCTGGAGATGAATCACTCTTTTTGATCTTCTCCTTACCTCGCATCAACCATTTCAGCTCCTGCACTTAGAAATTCCTGCGAACACTTAAAACACAGCAGAAATTATTAACCCAAGCTAGCAAATTCTCATTACAATTGATATTAACAATTAATCCCCGGTAACTGCACCAGAAACTTGAAAAACTTTTTGGCAAGTGCACCAAATCGTTGAAGTAACAAATTAGATTATCGTCCACAGGGATTAATGCTAAGTACCAACCCACAAGAATAGTACTAGTTAGGTCACCAAAAATAGGATATAAATAGAATAAAAATTAACTAAGTGCAGAATTATAAACAAAATGAAATTAAAAGTGCTGAAATTGAATTTTATAAATGAACAGAACTGAGAGATTAAATCTGGGAATGAAAATCAAAATAATTGCGGAATTTAAATATCTTAATTCTAGAAGTGGGTCTAAAATCAATTAAAAGACAGGTTGAGTTCAGAATCCCTTATCTCTTTCCCTTTGCATATCAATAAATTTATAACTCAAAACACAACTTCATCTAATGGTCAGATTTTCTAAAATAGCCCCACCCCAATTTCTTGGTAATTGGTTCTAAAATGAAATTAGTGTCATAATTCCTTAGATACAACTAAAAATATTCAGCATTAAGAATTAAACCCATTGATCACATCATCACAAATTTCTATTCCTAGATAATTTATAATGAGTAAATTAATCCCAGTCCAAGAAAGCTTACTACTTTCTAGTAATAAACTCCTTTTCATCAATCTCATTCACGTAGAACAAAGAAGCATTAAGTTCAGAATCAAGATGTTAGATTAAAACTTGTATCTTGAGCTATATCCAATGTTAGTTCATTGCAAAGGGTAAAGGTATAGGTTCATCCTCACTCAACCCCAAGATATTTAGCTAGACATAATAAAAGTAAATAATATAAAACTGAAATATATTGCAAAAATAGAATCCATGTTCACAAAAATGTTGCAAATAGTTGAAAGGAAAGAGTTACTATTCCATTACATAAACCAGAGAAAATGGAAAGGAAATGCAAGTTCTTATAAGAATCCTCTCTCAAAGTTATAAAGAAATTTCCCTAACTAACATATTCTCTGTAAACTATATGTAAAACCTAAATTTCTCCGCTCTGGAATCGTAAAAGACAAAAAGATAAAGGATGCTTCTTTTCATAAAAATTTCACTTTTATATGCTCAGTCAATATCGTGTCCCCACAATCAGAAATCTTTATCCCTACAATTGAGTTTTGCAACACTTAACTTCTGCTCCTTAGTCCATTTGTCAATTTTCTTTTTCTAATTCCTTCAAAATTCAAATGCCAACAATTAAAATATGCATGATTTCTCAATTTCCAGCAATACAACATTTTATTGAATTTTTCAATTAATTGGATTAACTTATAATTTAAATTCAATAAAATATGCCAAAAACTTTTAATTTTCTAGACGAGTTAGTAACTCATCAATGAATATATCTCATAGGAAGGTTAGTTAAATTATTAATTTCTTTAAAAAAATTTACCAATAATATATATATATATATACTTTATCCTTTTCTTTTTTGAGTTCTTAGAAAATTTAAGTTTTATGTAATAAAGCATAACCTAAAGGCTCAATAGTTAAAGGATGTATCTTAGAAGAAATACTCACTTTTTGTTCAAAGTAATTTACCACTAAAATTGAAACAAGATTTGATTAAGGAGGTCATGTTAATATTAAGGAGGATCCTTCTGAGTCATTGTCATCAATATTTCTTAATATTGACTAACTAGTTAAAAATAAAACATATTTTATTCTAACACCTACAAAGATATTACAAGCTTATCGACCTGAGTTAATTAATTGCAAAGAAGTTAAGCACTTTATTGAGTAAGATATATTCTAACATTGTTATCACATATTTAATAATGAATCTCATTTTTATCATCATACTTGTTGTATAAATTTTAAAAAGAAGAATCAACCAACAGCTTGTACTAAATATTTTTAAAATTTTGACTTTCAAGATTGTTCTTACCATGGTTTATTATTTGGTCTATTTATTTTTAACAATTTAAAAATAAAATTATATATTATGACTATAGATGATGCTAAAATGATCAGTATGTAACTTTTCTTTTATGATATTTATTATAATATATTTGTTTGCATGAAGAATGAGATCATGTATTTAGTTTTTAAAAAGATTAATCTTTTGAATGTTTTATTATGTGTGACTGTCTTTTTTTTCTTTTTCATTTATGACATTTTATTTGTTATTGTTGAATTTTTTTTTAAAAAAAAAGAACAAACAAAACATAAGCCCCAATGTATGAGTTTTGATGCAAACATTGTGGAATGAAATTAAAGATTAGCATGGATTGTTATTTTTTTTAATGGTTATTGAAGTATAAAAATTTGACTATATAATTTGTTAAAATTTCTCTTGAGCAAGACTGTTTATCAAATATTATTTTTTTAAAAAAATTATTTTTAAGTAAGATCATGTTGATAATGACTATTTTCAATAATGATAAATTTTGTTATGATAGTATATAATTATGAAAAAATATCTTGAAGTTTTAATTGAAAGAAGCTGTCTCCTTATATTTTATATGTTGAAGGTGCTTATAGGTATTTTGATATGAACGTTGTGATATTTAGAATAATAGAAAAATTGGATTCAACTTCAAAGTGATGATACGATTAATGCTTTTTTAATAGAAAAAACATGTATATATATACAACATTAAAGTAATATACTGTGAAAAGTTAAAAATTCTAAACTTTAAACGAGGGCCAGGGCTCCAAACTAGTTAGAAATTTCAAAATTTGTGAGATTATGAATGTGATATTCTATTTCATAGGTAGATCAATTTTGATGATTTTGAAGCTATAGATATCAAAATCAATTGTGACTTAACTAAGTATGTGAATCTCCTGGAACAACTTAGAAATTTATATAGCTATTCAAAATTAGTTAAAATTATTTCAAATAACACGTAACACCTTACATGCTTGGTACAAATTTCATGGCCATTAAATCTTTATTTTAACAATAATGAGTGTCTAAAGTTATTATAAAATTTAAATTTTTTATTGATAAACTTTTAGAAGTGAGTTAAACT